TAATAATGTTTGGGTCATCTTTTGACCAATCTAATAAATGCCTCTAGAATAAAAAAAAAAATGATATACTTAATGCGATAGATGTTTAGTTTAATTTATATATATATTTTCCAAATTAATAAAAATCAGTTCTTTTTAATCAAAATTACTGAGTAGACTACTCTTTATATAATTCTGATCTATGAATCTTTTTCAACATGTTTTCTTCGGTTTCAAGCATTGCATGAAATTTTCTTTATAGTAAAATTTTGTAACTACTATTGCCTTTATTGTGTCTATTTCACGTTGTGTATTTTGTTACTCTTAAATTAACCTAAAATCTGGACAATATATATATATATATATATATATATATATATATATATAAAAGGTTGTCAAATATCTCCCTTCCGTTTTTTTGCTCTTTATTCAATGCTTTATAAAAAGTGTTACAGTGATCGGATTTAGTTCAAATATGCGCCGTTTTGTTCGATAAACTGTTTCCATCTAGACGGCAACTTCATAATACCTCCCTCGTAGAAGCCCCCCTCCTTATTTGCTAAGAACTCGGACAGCCACTTTTCACAAGCCTCTTTTGAGTTCAACTTTACACCACCAAGGGCATTCGCCATGGACAGGAACAGGTGGTAATCACTTGGCGCTATGTCCGGGCTATATGGTGGATGCGATAAAACCTCCCATCCGAGCTCCCGTAGCTTCTGACGAGTCATCAACGAAGTGTGTGGCCTGGCGTTGTCCTGGTGGAGCACTACACCCTTCCTGTTGGCCAATTCTGGACGCTTCTGGTCGATCGCCTGCTTCAAGCGGTCCAGTTGTTCGCAGTAGATGGTAGAACTAAGCGTCTGGCCATATGGGAGCAGCTCATAGTGGATGATTCCCTTTCAATCCCACCAGACACACAGCAAAACCTTCCTGGCCGTCAATCCCGGCTTGGCCACTGTTTGGGACGATTCACCGGCCTTCGACCACGACCGTTTTCGCTTGATATTGTCGTATGTGATCCATTTTTCGTCGCCAGTCACCATCCGCTTCAAGAATGGGTCGAGTTCGTTCCGTTTCAGCAGCATATCGCAGGCGTTGATTCGGTCCAGAAGGTTTTTTTGCGTCAAATCATACGGCACCCAAATATCAAGCTTTTTTTTGTATCCAGCCTTCTGCAGATGGTTTAAAATGGTTTGGTGACTAACTCCCATCTCCTGGGCGATGTCACGAGATGCCACATGCCGGTCTAACTCGATGTATTCCATGATTTGATCGGTATTTGTCGTCACAGGTCTTCCGCCGGCTGGCTTATCCATGGTGTCGTTTTCACCGGCTCTGAATCGTCGAAACCATTCCTCCGCGGTTCGAAGTGATAGAGTACCATCCCCCAAAACACCATTAATCTCACGGAACGTTTCTCTAGCGGATTTGCCTTTAACGAAGGAAAACTTTAAAATAGCGCGAATTTCGGCGTTAGTGAACTCCATGTTTACACGTCTATAACTGTTGAACGCAATATCCAAACTAATCATGCATAGCGTCGTTTTGTAGGTTATGTCAAGACCTTTCAAATTATGTATAGTATTGCCAGATACGAGCTCTGTAGCGCTTTGTACATAGCCGCGAAATTCAAAAGACAAAAGGGCGGAAGGGAGATATTTGACAACCTTATATATATATATAGAATAAAGGTCAACTGGTTATCGACGATAGATATAATTGCTTACTTTTCTGTCTTCTCGTAATTCCTTTGTAATTAGTGTAATTTCATGAACGACTTGTGACATAAGATTCTCGGCAACAACCTCCCTCTGTCCAGCAAGATCGCTAACTTCATTTAGCATCAATTTAAATGCCCGCCATGAGCTAAAACTTAAAACAGAAATTTTGTACAATACACGATTATTATTAGACGACGATTGAATTTAATAAAAGGATTATTAAATTCAATTTATCAATACATAAGTAATTTAAAAAAATACGTACTTGTAGTCTTCATCATCTTTCTTTTTCGGCTGGTAATTTTTCACCAACCTCCTGAAAAATATAAATATTAAATAAATAAGCATAAACTACACGAAAAATTTAAGAATACATGAACGAAAGAAAAATTTTAAGATACATATTTCGTTTCTGATCTAGATTATCCTAATTCTAATTTAAAATTGAGCTTATATAATATCATTTAGAATTTTAATTATAGTTTGCAAGAAACTTTTATATGTATTCAAAACACGACTATTTAATTTTTGTATAACCATACATATATTTTTTTAACTATAATTAAATATTGCTTTATATAATAATTATATAACGCATAATGCATATAAGATCGATATATTTTTACCCTCTTGTTGACAAATCATAGATAAACAGGCATAAATATGGATATAATCATATTGATAATCTCTTATTTAGTTGAATTTAATTTAGTCAAGTTGAATATACAAGAATTCAAAATTAGTGCAGTAAACGGAGAGGAAAAAAGGGTATAACCTCTGAATTTTTTTACTGTGCTCCGAATTGAATGAAATTTTGGAATTAGGTTCATCTTACCCTCAAGTTTAAAAGTGAAAACAATTCGGGTTGCGCCATCACCCCCCGGGAGGATGACACCCCCTCTCAATTGTGTAATTACATTTTTTCAAAATAACGTCGGAAATCGATAGAAGAACTAATTATAAGAATAAAATGTCTCTTATAGTTTTTTCAAAAAAAACTAATACTTTTCAAGTTATAGGCCACTAAAGATTCATATATTTTTGGCGCTTTCCTTCGTTTTTTTGCAAATATCTCCTAAAATATACATTTTAACAAAAATCATGTAATGAACAAAATAATGTCAATAAAAATCTTAATAAATCGGTATTACATAAAGTGTTCTAGGAAAAATATTAAGCAAGATTTGAAAGAGCAAAGTCGTTTTTTATTTCGTTCAAGATTTAATTGTTGTATTTAAAGCCATCTAGTGTCGAAGTTTTACATTTTATGCATTTCGGTGAAATTGGGTTTTATAGTGCTCAACATAAGCTTTAAAATGAGTGCTGTTACAAGTTTTTTGCGTGTAAAATGAGTGAGCTATCATGCAAATAAGAAGCATATACGAAGTTTTTTTCTTTTAAATCTTATGGTTTAATGAGCGCCATTTCCACCAGAATTACAGTAATTCACATTCCATCTAGAATTCACTTTATTATAGACATCTTGATGGATTCTAGCAGATTCACTACTTCAGTACAAACTATTTTCAGAAAACTCACGATTTTATAAAAACTTTTTTTTCCAATTTGCGCGACCGCGCAGTCTTTAAACATTCATAACTCTGTCAATTTTTGTGTAAAATAAAAATTATAAAAAACAATAATAAGCCAGAAAGATTCCTTTGATTCTTATCTATATGCTTTTATACGTATCTTTTATTCTTTTTGAGATATAATGAAAATAATTTCGATTTTCAAAAAAATCAGAAAAAAAAGTTTTTATAAAATCGTGAGTTTTCTGAAAATAGTTTGTACTGAAGTAGTGAATCTGCTAGAATCCATCAAGATGTCTATAATAAAGTGAATTCTAGATGGAATGTGAATTACTGTAATTCTGGTGGAAATGGCGCTCATTAAACCATATGATTTAAAAGAAAAAAACTTCGTATATGCTTCTTATTTGCATGATAGCTCACTCATTTTACACGCAAAAAACTTGTAACAGCACTCTTTTAAAGCTTATGTTGAGCACTATAAAACCCAATTTCACCGAAATGCATAAAATGTAAAACCTCGACACTAGATGGCTTTAAATACAACAATTAAATCTTGAACGAAATAAAAAACGACTTTGCTCTTTCAAATCTTGCTTAATATTTTTCCTAGAACACTTTATGTAATACCGATTTATTAAGATTTTTATTGACATTATTTTGTTCATTACATGATTTTCGTTAAAATGTATATTTTAGGAGATATTTTCAAAAAAACGAAGGAAAGCGCCAAAAATATATGAATCTTTAGTGGCCTATAACTTGAAGAGTATTAGTTTTTTTTGAAAAACTATAAGAGACATTTTATTCTTATAATTAGTTCTTCTATCGATTTCCGACGTTATTTTGAAAAAATGTAATTACACAATTGAAAGGGGGTGTCATCCCCCCGGGGGGTGTTGGCGCAACCCGAATTGTTTTCACTTTTAAACTTGAGGGTAAGATGAACCTAATTCCAAAATTTCATTCAATTCGGAGCACAGTAAAAAAATTCAGACCTAAAACGCTCCGTTTACTGCACTAAATGAAACGTTTAGAAATCTAATATTATCTAAGCGCTAAAATAAATCAACTAATGTTTTTATTAATCTTATAAATAAGATATATATTTTTTCCACTCTTAAGCTAATTACAGGAATGAGAGCAAATTAAATATGTAAACTATTCAAAATAAATGAGTTATTTGTATGAAAAAAGTATTTATTCTTATTTAATTTTTTTGTACGATTTATATTATTTTTTTACTATTCAAGATTGAGGTTCAGCGGTTTCATATCATATTATATAAAATATTCTGGTAAGTACAATTGAACTCAATACAGAAACTTTTTCATATGACAATTATTATTTGATGCATAAAATTGTAGTTAGATAAATTTCGACATTAGCTAGTGGTGCTATACCACTGGGGCAGAATCATGCTTTAAGGCAAACTGCTGGAACTTCCCGTACGGTAATAAAATTTTTTTTAAAGCTTTAGAAGTTTTTGAAAAAGTCGAGTTTTTGGAAAAATTCGCATCTTTTAAATTTTTTGTTTTTAATTTTTTGAATATGTATTTTGAAATTTCTTGAAAATTTTGAAACCCATTCATGCCGGTTGACTTTGTAAGTGAACTTTAAACATTATAAACTTGGTACGGAACCCACAAAAATAAAAATAAATATTATACTCAATATTAAAATCTCCTTTTCTCTTTTTCTTTCTGGATCTCCGAAACCGCTGAACCTGCCTTCAATTCAAAATTTAATCATTAATCATTAGGTAAAATTCCTCATTGAATAAAATATTTTTGAATCATTCAAATCGGTCTCCCCATGAATAGCAAACGAATGTTGTTTGAATCATTCAAATCGGTTGACGCGTGCTTTCACCTCACAAAAATGAAGTAGAATGTTTTTTTAAATTTAACTTAATAGATATCTTATTAATCACAGAATTCACAGAAAATACCTACTTTAAAATTTATAACTACACTACTTATAATTCAAATCATTCAAGTGGCTGGGCTCGCGGCGATTCGGGAATGAAAAATTGTATACGAACATACATACATACACACCAATCGATATTTTTCTAAAAAGCTTGTAAGATAAGTTATTCTAAAATGTTCAGATATCTTTGAAATATAAAGATATGCAAACATTTTCAATTACAATTTATTTGCGATTACTATAATTTACCCTGAACAGTTAAATATTAATTTCCTAAAATGTAATACCATGCATTTGGCAATCGATTATAGCTTATTAAAACAATGATACTTTTGGTTTTTATTGAATATAAGATAAATACTATAACGTTGCTATAACGAAAATAAGATATTCGAATATGTAATCCATACTAAAAAATATGCGCCGCGACGAAAAACTAAAATATTAAATTCTATTTAAATCGGGCTCTTTAAATTCTTCAACATTTAATCACACTGAAATCCTAACTTCTAATTCATATATTTAAAACAATAAGTAAAGGTTCAAAATTATTGTACATTTTCATTTAAAATCATAATAGCGAGAACACAAATTCGAATTATTTCATTGAATATTTTTTGACGCCCGCTCTGGATATAAAAGCGGTAAGCAGTTGGACTCGCAGCAATCAACTAAAACACATATGACGCATCCTATATGATGTTGAAATTAAAGAATTGGGGAAAAAGTCAGCGGTTCACCCTGTGAGGGGTGCCAAATAGCACGCGTACTTCGAACACGTCATTCTGCCGCAAACATTCCAGATTACGGCAGAGTGAATTTTATTACAACGCGATATTGAATGCACTTCGAAAGGTGAAAGTAACAGTACTAGTATTATGCGTTACAGATACCGGCAAATGTGTGTATCGACGATAAATATTTCATACTACCGGTGTTATAAACGATTATATTCATTCCACATCTTAACGTTTCATGTTAAGAAAATAATATGGGGTGCTATTGTATTGTGAACAAAATGTATAGGAACATAATGATCATACGAGTCAACTTTCTTACTTCAAGAGCTAATCGATTGGAAATCAAAACTAAAAATTTGTAAAAGTAATTCTTTCATGCTCCCACCAAAAATTATTTTGGTTTATATTAATATCATAAATTATTAAACAATATATTATTGGATTGTCATTCTAATTTTGTAATGGGATAGTGAAATACGTAAAAGCATTTTTATTTTATTCTTTAAATGCGCATGTAGTAACTTTTAGCTGCATATATATAAAATATATAGAAAACTAGTGGGGTGGGTGACATCGTGCCTTAAGGCGAATTGCTGGAACTTCCCGTATCGTAACGAAATGTTCGAGGCATACTGAATGTTTTCAAATAGATTATTATAAATATTGTAACATTGTCTAATATTTATAAGAATTATATAAACTTAATTGCAGAGTTGAAATTATTTGTTTAAAGTATATTAGAACTATAGTCAGAACTAAAAATAAAATCTGAATTATTTTCGATATACAAAAAATTAAAAAAAAAAAAAAAAAAAAAAATGATACAAATTTTTTTTTTCCAAAATCAATTATTTTGTTAAGACAAGCAGAAAGTTCTTTGAATCAATTGAATCGGACGCTTAATTCTCTCAAAAACTGCCATTTTTTGTACATTTTGCTCTGTATCTCCGAAATGGCTGGGCTTGCCTTTGCGAAAAACTAATAACCCCTTCTCCCAATCATTACTAATTGAATGTTTTTTAGATCATTCAAATCGGATGCTCCGTTCTCTCAAAAACTCGATTTCTATTGTCTGCACTCTTTGCTCCTTATCTCCGTAACTGCTGGACCTGCCTTTGCCAAAAACTAATCAGTACATCTCCTTATCAATAGGAATCGAATGTTTTTTAAACCATTCAAATCGGTTGATCCGTTCGCCCGAAAACGTGGGCGAAAATTTGTATCCATACATACATACACACACACACACACACACACACACATCCATTTTTTCTGAAGTATGCCAAAACGTTCAGAAACCTTCAAAACGTCGAGAAATGTAAAAATTTTCAATTCCGATTTTCGGCCCATTTTAATAACTTACCCTACGGGAAGTTAAAAAAAAAAAATTGAACAAAATTTTTTTTTTCCAAAATCAATTATTTTGTTAAGACAAACAGAAAGTTCGTTGAATCAATTGAATCGGACGCTTAGTTTTCTCAAAAACTGTCATTTTTTGTACATTTAGCTCTGTATCTCCGAAATGGTTGGGCCTGCCTTTGCGAAAAACTAATAACCCCTTTTCCCAATCATTACTAATTGAATGTTTTTAGATCATTCAAATCGGGTGCTCCATTTTCTCAAAAACTCGATTTCTATTCTCTGCACTCTTTGCTTCTTATCTCCGTAACTGCTGGACCTGCCTTTGCCAAAAACTAATCAGCACATCTCTTTATCAATAGGAATCGAATGCTTTTTGAACCATTCAAATCGGTTGATCCGTACGCCCGAAAACGTGGGCGAAAAATTGTATCCATACATACATACACATACACACACACATCCATTTTTTCTGGGGTATGCCAAAATGTTCAGAAACCTTCAAAACGTCGAGAAATGTAAAAATTTTCAATTCCGATTTTCGGCCCATTACAATAACTTACCCTACGGGAAGTTAATAAAATATTTAACTTATTTATGGCTATAAAAATTCACACTTCGCTTCTTGCTTCATATTTTTTTAAATAACAAAATGTCTTTTTATCAATTTTTGATAAATATGAAAAGATTAAATTCAAAATAATTTGCAAACACGATAAAAATGGATAATCTACATAGAATGGAAAAAAACAGAATTTTATACAAGATTTAATTCATGTATTTACATCAAAATAATGTGGTGTATATTATTTTACTCAATACGCCAGAACCAAAAATGTTTGTATCTACTTTTAATCTATTATCGAACGAAAACTAGTGGTGTATGGCATCGTGACTTAAGGCAAATTGCTGGAACTTCCCGTACCGTAACGAAATGTTTTCAAATAGTTTATTATAAATATTGTAACATTGTCTAATATTTATAAGAATTATATAAACTGAATTGCAAAGTTGAAATTATTTTTTTAAAGTATATTAGAACTATAGTCAGAATTAAAATTAAAATCAGAATTATTTTCGATATACAAAAAAAAAAACAATTAAAAAAAAAATTGAAACAATTTTTTTTTATTATTAATTATTTTGTTGAGACAAGCAGAAAGCTTTTTGAATCATTCAAATCGGATGCTTAGTTCTCTCAAAAACTGCCATTTGTTGCTTATTTAGATCCGTATCTCCGAAACAGCTGGTCCTGCCTTTGCCAAAATCTAATCACCACTTCTCCTTATCATTACGAATCGAATGCTTTTTAAATCATTCAAATCGAATGCTCCGTTCTCTCAAAAACTCTATTTGTATTTTCTGCACTTTTTGCTCCGTATCTCCGTAACGGCTGGACCTGCCTTTGCCAAAAACTAATCAGCACATCTTCCTATCAATAAGAATCGAATATTTTTGAAACCATTCAAATCGGTTGATCCGTGCGCCAGAAAACGTGGACGAAAAAATACGGACATTCAAAACACACACACACATACACACACATCCATTTTTCTGAGGTATGCCAAAAAGTTCAGAAACCTTCAAAACGTCGAGAAATGCAAAAAATTTCATTTTCGATTTTCGGCCCATTAATACAACTACCCTACGGCAAGGTAATAAACAAGAAAATTGAAAAGTGATATAGTAAAATTTTTCCTAAATAATTTTCAATAAAAACTCGAAATTATTTAAATAGTATTTAAGTTATCTATCATATATATTATTTTCCTTTTCATATGTATTTTCCTTTTATATTTGAACCCATTACATCTTTTGAAAAAAGATGCGTACTTGCGGTCGGATGTTATAATTCTCAGGAAGTGCAAAGAATGGTCATTCGCTTTTTGGAGAAAGCGAATCAAATTATTTTAATGATTCAAAAAATATTCGATTAGCGTTGACAGTGAGAATAATCGATAAGTTTTTAGTAAAGGCAGACCCAGCGCTTCTAAAATACATAATGTATTATAATACAAAACACGGGTGATATGATAGATATATAATAGATATATGATAGATATTTTTATAGAGATTGTAACAATATGCATAAACTTTGTTACAAAGTTTGAAATTATTACCAATATCTATATATATATAAACTGAATATTTATTGAACGATTTGACATAATTATTAGTCCAAATTTTTTATCTATTTATGCCGATCTTAACATATAGAAATTTGTATCAAAAAATTTTATTACAGATTTATAACTTAAACTCATCAAATTATCTTTATATAAAAAATGCGTAATGGATTTTCATAATTAAGCCATTCCTAGTAGACCTATAATATGTTACACAATTTGTTAAGATCATAAACTCATAATCAAAATCGCAAAAACGAGTTCAACAATTAATAGCGAAAAAAACGGTTCAGTCAATTTTTCACTAAAAACTAAGTAGCATGATCCCCCAAACTAATTTTGATCAGTCTTTCAAACGGACATTAAATTTTCAAAACTGATTCAAGATTTTTTGCAAAAATATAAACAAAATTATTACATTTTAATTTACAGTTATTACAATTTATTTTACAGCTTTCTAAAAATTCTTAAAAAAAATGGTTCGGCCAGTCTACTTGTAAATTAAAGTGAGTCCTTATGGAATACGAGTTTCAAAATTGGTTTATGAAAAATACATGTTGAGGAAAGGTCAAATTTTGGCTCTGACCATCACACCTACTCACATATGTGAAGATACTTTTACATTTCAGTCAACTTAATAAACTAAATAAACTTGAGCCGGCAAAAATACAAAATTAGCAAATCAAATTTCCTGACGAAAGCTTAAACTTCTCCTTCGGAAAATGAAAAAACCAATGAACTAACCTTAGTTTTCCAGCGTATTCGTTCTCGATGGCACATCTGTCCCGCAAGAAGTGTCCATAACGTTCCAGAAAGTCGATGCCCTTGAGCGTGTGTGCCGATAGATTGTCGTACTGATCCTGCAATCAAAATAATTTTATTATTCAATCACATACATGGATAAACAAAAATATAATTTGATCTATAAATTTTGTTCAGCTAGAGTGTATAAAAATAAATGTTCAAAATGATTATTTCACCTTTGAAATATGCTATACGAAGGGATTATAGAGTAAACTATTTTGCCAAGGCAAATTATCTGGAACATCCCGTACCGTTGTCTAATATTAAATTATTTCAAATAGGTTATTATATTTAAATACTGTAAATTTCATTAATCTTGTTCGAATGACAAAATATAATAGCTGATAAATTGGACGACGACGTTTATATATGTTGTTTACATGAAAAGTAAATTCCTAAACAAACCGTTTCTTCATAAGCAAAATGTTTTTTGAATATTTCGAATAGGAAGCTTAGTTCCCTCAAAAACTACCATTTTTTCCACTTTTAACTCTTCATCTTTGATAACCGCTGGGCCTGTCTTTGCCAAAAACTATATGCCACGCCTTCTCAATATTACAAATTGGATGTTTTCAATCATTTAAATCGGATGCTCAGTTCTCTCAAAACTCAACTTCCATTTTCTGTACTCTTTGGTTCATATCTCCGAAACGGCTGGACCGATTTTGCCAAAAACTATTCAGCACATCTCCCTATCAACAAAAATCGATAGCTTTTTGAGTATTTCAAATCGTTTGATCCGTGCTCCCGAAAACGTGGATGAAAGATTTTAATTATTAAAATAAGATTTACAGTTAATTTTCAACTTCGAGAAGATAAGACATTTATGTATTGTTAAAAAATTAAGAAAATTCAAGATTGTTTTTATATATGAGAACAATATTGTATAGAAGTACTTTAGAGTTGGCAGTAGTTGTTGAAAAGTACCTATGTTAAATATAGTGATCTGTAAGTATAAAATCAACGTAACACGGACAAGCGATATTTTGCACGTTGCTTCACTGTTTATTTGTCCTTGAGCATTGGCATCTTCATGAACAATATTCTTACAGACGTAAAAAACGGCGTATCAACAACATGGCTCTTATTTTTTTTAAAAAAATAAGATATAAAAGCACTACGAACTCTTTTCGTATTATATCGCAATTCGTTAAGTTATATTACAGCCCAATAACAACTGTTATTACAGTCCAAACCTCAACTATTATAAGATTTTTGAAATAATAGTAAAATATTATTTGATACTAGTTCGATATAAAATAAACTAAATTATGGTTCCACCTTTTTTCTGATTGTCGTAATTTGAAAGCAAAAGGCTATTTATAAGAGTTTAATGACTGTTTGTGCAGGTATGCAGTTCAATGAATCGTTGCTTTAAATATAGAATTAAAAGCAGTAAAACATGATCATATTCCTCTATAGTTCACTTTGCTTGACCGACTGTGATCTCGTGATATTGATTTTAAACGTTCAATATTTACTCTGCTTCGACGGAGCAATGAATTAATACACGCTTTGTTTGATTTGTTAGAAAAGCTAAGAAAACTATTTTCAATAGTCTGAGTGCCCCAGACCTTAACCTCAAGCAGAAAAGGGGTGATTAACTATCCTGAAAAAAATTAGAATAAAAATTATCTCACTTTGGAACTTATTAGCTTTTAAGTGCACCCTAGAGCATTGACTACCTTTCGGTTATTGTAAATATCATTTAAAATTTGAAACCGAAACCGAAAAGATCATTTCTAGAACCACAGTCAAAAGTAAAACAAGCATTAAGACTTTTGTTGAACCATTATTTTAAAATTTTTAAAACTATCGACCCATCTTTGAAAAAAAAAATGTATTAAAGTGTGTTAATTTCAATCATTCATAAGTAGACACATTTACTCAGGATTGTGAAGTGGTAAAGTACTAATACTAATTTTATTGATAAGAAGATAATTTTAAAAATATTCGAGTGAAAAAACCATAAATGATGCTTAGTTGCTGACAAATAAAAAGGTAAATATTTTTGGCGTTTTTACGTGTAAGGCCATGTACACCCAAACAACAAAATATCTTACCTACATGCACGCCAAACTGGTAACATATTTTATAAAATACGCGAATATTCGTAAAAAATAGTATACAAATGGACCGACAAGGGCCAACAAAACTACAATCATAGAATTCTTTATCGTGCTTATAGTATGCTAATGGATATAAAATGTTACTAATAACCTTTAGTAACTGACAATGAGTCAAGTCGCGAGCAAAAATGTGTACAAAGTATGTAGCACGATATTTTAATGTAGAACGTTGAATAGAATATGACATAAAAATTGCATGAGATTTTCTTTGAAATGAAATAAAAGGACAGACTGTTATCAGCAACAAGAACAAGATATTACCGCGACCAACTTATCAAATGCGGGCACCGTAGAATAATGAAAGTGTACCAATTTCGAAGCAGCTACGCATTACAAATTACTTCGCGCATACCAGAGAAATGCCCGACGTGTTTTGAAGTGCGTTTAATGATCATGCCGTGAATAGCATTAGTGATTCCTTCGTAAATAAGTTCGTTTTTCCAGGACTTTTGATTTCTGGTAAACACTTATCATGCCAAATATATGGTCGACTGGATAACTTCTGCTGGATGTTATAAACTAAATGCTTAAAATAATTACAAATTGACGTGTCATTAACCCGAATCGACAATACTGATAATGTATAATCAGTAAATTTGTTGACGCATATGTGTTTTGGACTTTTTGTGTGGGTGACATTTCTCTCAAATACATTTATATACTAACAAGGAGAATATGAAACATGATAACAAGGCTATATATATATATATATATATATATATATATATATATATATATGTATATATATATATATATATTTATATATATATATATATATAATAAATGAATTAATCTGCATAACGAATGCATCCAAACAATATAAAGGTTAATGCTTCATTGTATCAAAATCATTTAATATAAAATATACGAATCGAACTCGATACTTTAAAGCTCTGCATACAAACACCTTCATTTTTGCTATTATCTATTATGTAATTTATAATATTACTTCCAGTGATAATATAAAAAAAATTATATGCAAATACAAAGGCACGTGTTTTTCTTCAAATATTTCTAAATGGGCAGAAGTGGAAACGTTTAACTTTCAATACAAATCAACTAAAATATATAGCATTCAAAAATGACATATGTATATGATAAGAGGCAATGGTTCTATATCGAAGGGCCTAAATCAATTGCCCTCTTTTAAGATTTTGACACACAAATAAACTGAGACAATGCGATTTTAGAAACAATATTAGACCAATAAACTACTTAAAATCTGAAATTTATATAAAAAGATAGAGAATATTAATTTTCTAAATTTATCGACTGAAACTAAGAAATTGACATTAGCGATTTTTTACAGAATCATACAAAACAAAATTCACTAAAACTTACAACTGATGTTTGCAGAAAATACCATTCATAAAGAAGATTACTAAAGTTTTTGAATAAAATTGTGATCAAAACATTTGAAAAAATGAAATCCGTTTATAAAATATTAATGATGATTTATGAATTATCAAGATAATTTTCAAACTGAATTAAATGAATAAATTGTCGAAATCTATTTAGGTTTTTTTTTATTAAAAGATTGGTTGTGAATCATAAAGGGACTCTTTGTTTCAATAATCATGCAAAATTTACCAACCAACAAACCTTTGTAATCGGTAAAATCATTTTCAAAAAAACGTCGAGTACAGACGAAAATTACGTTCACAAACCCATACATTCTTTCTGCAACTTTCGTGTCAACAATTAAATTAGCAAATCGAATTATGTATATCTACGCAAATATAAAAAATAACTAATACAAAAAGAGACAAGTTAATTATTTTTTTCTTATTCTTCTGCTTATAGCAATTGCAGGAATTGTAATATAGATTTATAGAATTTAAAAAATTCTAAAATTAATTTTAATTTAACATTAGGTGAAGTGAAAAAATCCATTAATTTTGCATGAAATTAAGGCTTTAATTACTATAGTCAGAATGACCCGATTTATTTGTTCGATCACTTGTCATTTTAAGCCAATATCATTACGTCTCTCTCATATAAACCCTCGTTCCTTTCGGCCGATAAGTCAGACTGTCGATTTTTACCAGCCTCCCTTGAAGCGAATTTTTCATCAGCAAAACTTTTTGCTACGAACAGGAACAAGTGGTAATCGCTTGCTGCCAAAACCGAACTATAAAATAGATCCATGAAAACCTTTTAATCAAGCTCTTGGAGGTCTTTTGGCGAGTCACTATAGATGTGTGTTTTCAGGCGTTTTCCTGATGAAACACAATTCCTCTCCTATTGGCCAAAGCCGCCTGCTTCCGGGAAATTGATTCCTTTAGTTAGACGGTCCAATTGCTGACTATTCCCAGTGGAGAGTTTTGCCATAGATCATCTCACAGCATATAAGTCCCTGCTAAACCCACCAAACCCTAATCCTGGCTTGGCCACCATTTCTACCCAATCATCGCGATATGATTACGACAGTTCTCGCTTCACCTTATCGCAATAGATTCACTTTTCATCACCAGTCACCTACTGCTTCAAAAATCATGCGATTTTCTTGCGATTTGCAGATAAAAATTCGGTGTAGAAGATTTTAATGTAGCATCCATACATCGAGTTGTATTTAGTTTCTAACGCTATTCAAATGGTGCCAAACGGCCTTTAGCTCTTGGGGCTATCGAAATTGACTTACATGACGGTTGGACTCGAAGATTTTGTCGACATTTTCGACAACTGACCAGCGCGCGTGCCTGGATTTGCCATCGAAATTACCATAATGAATCGAAGAATCCATAATTGCGCATAATTGGCTGTTACAGTATTAAGGCCATAAACTGTATTCACATATTCAGCCTCCTTGTGCTTTGCCTTCATCAAACAAAGAGTGTCAAACTGTCAAATATAGCGTATTTTCTCTTTGCTGGCGTCCATTTTTGACGCGCGCTCAAACAAAAGTTTTTATACTTGAGTGCATCAAG